AATTCCGTAGGAAACATAGACATAATTTCGTACCATTTGGCTTTTCCCTCCCATATGATTTGCAAATCTTGGCGATCTTTTATCTCTGGAACACTATACCTTTTGGTGCTTTTTGGGGATTCTGACGTTCTAAGCTGTAGGAAACATAGACATAATTTCGTACCATTTGGCTTTTCCCTCTCATATGATTTGCCAATCTTGGCGGTCTTTACTTCTGGAACACTATACTTTTTGGTGCTTTTTGGGGGTTCTGACGTTCTAAGTGTTGGATTCAGCAGCTAATTCCGTATAGGAAACATAGACATAATTTCGTACCATTTAGCTTTTCCCTCCTATATGATTTGCAAACATTGGCGATCTTTTATCTCTGGAACACTATGCCTTTTGGATTCTTTTGGTGCTTTTTGGAGGTTCTGACGTTCTAAGTGTTGGATTCAGCAGCTAATTCCGTAGGAAACATAGACATAATTTCGTACCATTTGGCTTTTCCCTCCCATATGATTTGCAAATATTGGCGATCTTTTATTTCTGGAACACTATACCTTTTGGTGCTTTTTGGGGGTTAGTTCTGACGTTCTAAGTGTTGGATTCAGAAGCTAATGTCCGTAGGAAACATAGACAGAATTTATTCATTTAAGCTTGTTCCCTCCCATAAAATTTGAAATATTGCGATCTTTTATCTTCCTTTTTTTAGGAACACTATACCTTTTGGATCCTTTTGGTGCTTTTTGGGGGCTCTGACGTTCTAAGTGTTGGATTCAGCAGCTAATTCCGTAGGAAACATAGACATAATTTCGTACCATTTGGCTTTTCCCTCCCATATGATTTGCCAATCTTGGCGGTCTTTACCTCTGGAACACTATACCTTTTGGTGCTTTTTGGGGGTTCTGACGTTCTAAGTGTTGGATTCAGCAGCTAATTCCGTAGGAAATTCGTACCATTTGGCTTTTCCCTCCCATATGATTTGCCAATCTTGGCGGTCTTTACCTCTGGAACACTATACCTTTTGGTGCTTTTTGGGGGTTCTGACGTTCTAAGTGTTGGATTCAGAAGCTAATTCCGTAGGAAACATAGACATAATTTCGTACCATTTGGCTTTTCCCTCACAAATGATTTGCAAACATTGGCGATCTTTTATCTCTGGAACACTATACCTTTTGGATCCTTTTGGTGCTTTTTGGGGGTTCTGACGTTCTAAGTGTTGGATTCAGCAGCTAATTCTGTATAGGAAACATAGACATACTTTCGTACCATTTGGCTTTTCCCTCCCATATGATTTGCCAATCTTGGCTGTCTTTACTTCTGGAACACTATACTTTTGGGTGCTTTTTTTGCGGGTTCTGACGTTCTAAGTGTTGGATTCAGCAGCTAATTCTGTATAGGAAACATAGGCATAATTTCGTACCATTTGGCTTTTCCCTCACAAATGATTTGCAAACATTGGCGATCTTTTATTTCTGGAACACTATACCTTTTGGTGCTTTTTGGGGGTTCTGACGTTCTAAGTGTTGGATTCAGCAGCTAATTCCGTATAGGAAACATAGACATAATTTCGTGCCATTTGGCTTTTCCTTCCATATGATTTGCAAATCTTGGCGGTCTTTACTTCTGGAACACTATACTTTTTGGTGCTTTTTGGGGGTTCTGACGTTCTAAGTGTTGGATTCAGAAGCTAATTCCGTAGGAAACATAGACATAATTTCGTACCATTTAGCTTTTCCCTCCAATATGATTTGCAAACATTGGCGATCTTTTATCTCTGGAACACTATACCTTTTGGATCCTTTTGGATCCTTTTGGTGCTTTTTGGGGGTTCTGAGTTCTGATGTTCGAAGTGTTGGATTCAGCAGCTACTTCCGTAGGAAACATAGACATAATTTCGTACCATTTGGCTTTTCCCTCCCATATGATTTGCCAATCTTGGCGGTCTTTACCTCTGGAACACTATTCCTTTTGGTGCTTTTTTGAGGGTTCTGACGTTCTAAGTGTTGGATTCAGCAGCTAATTCCGTAGGAAACATAGACATAATTTCGTACCATTTAGCTTTTCCCTCCCATATGATTTGCAAACATTGGCGATCTTTTATCTCTGGAACACTATACCTTTTGGATCCTTTTTGGGGGTTCTGACGTTCTAAGTGTTGGATTCAGCAGCGAATTCCGTATAGGAAACATAGAAATAATTTCGTACCATTTGGCTTTTCCCTCCCATATGATTTGCAAACATTGGCGGTCTTTTATCTCTGGAACACTATACCTTTTGGTGCTTTTTGGGGGTTCTGACGTTCTAAGTGTTGGATTCAGCAGCTAATTCCGTAGGAAACATAGGCATAATTTCGTACCATTTGGCTTTTCCCTCACAAATGATTTGCAAACATTGGCGATCTTTTATTTCTGGAACACTATACCTTTTGGTGCTTTTTGAGGGTTCTGACGTTCTAAGTGTTGGATTCAGCAGCTAATTCCGTAGGAAACATAGACATAATTTCGTACCATTTGGCTTTTCCCTCCCATATGATTTGCAAATCTTGGCGATCTTTTATCTCTGGAACACTATACCTTTTGGTGCTTTTTGGGGATTCTGACGTTCTAAGCTGTAGGAAACATAGACATAATTTCGTACCATTTGGCTTTTCCCTCTCATATGATTTGCCAATCTTGGCGGTCTTTACTTCTGGAACACTATACTTTTTGGTGCTTTTTGGGGGTTCTGACGTTCTAAGTGTTGGATTCAGCAGCTAATTCCGTATAGGAAACATAGACATAATTTCGTACCATTTAGCTTTTCCCTCCTATATGATTTGCAAACATTGGCGATCTTTTATCTCTGGAACACTATGCCTTTTGGATTCTTTTGGTGCTTTTTGGAGGTTCTGACGTTCTAAGTGTTGGATTCAGCAGCTAATTCCGTAGGAAGCATAGACATAATTTCGTACCATTTGGCTTTTCCATCCCATATGATTTGCAAATATTGGCGATCTTTTATCTCTGGAACGCTATATGTTTTGGTGCTTTTTGGTAGTTCTGACGTTCTAAGTGTTGGATTCAGAAGCTAATTCCGTAGGAAACATAGATCGACATAATTTCGTACCATTTGGCTTTTCCCTTCCATATGTTTTGCAAATATTGGCGTTCTCTATCTCTGGGACACTATGCCTTTTGGTGCTTTTTGGGGGTTCTGACGTTCTAAGTGTTGGATTCGGCAGCTAATGCCGTAGGAAACATAGACATAATTTCGTACCATTTGGCTTTTCCCTCCCATATGATTTGCAAACATTGGCGATCTTTTATCTCTGGGACACTATGCCTTTTGGTGCTTTTTGGGGGTTCTGACGTTCTAAGTGTTGGATTCAGCAGCTAGTTCCGCAGGAAACATAGACATAATTTCGTACCATTTGGCTTTTCCCTCACAAATGATTTGCAAACATTGGCGATCTTTTATCTCTGGAACACTATACCTTTTGGATCCTTTTGGTGCTTTTTGGGGGTTCTGACGTTCTAAGTGTTGGATTCAGCAGCTAATTCTGTATAGGAAACATAGACATAATTTCGTACCATTTGGCTTTTCCCTCCCATATGATTTGCCAATCTTGGCGGTCTTTACCTCTGGAACACTATACCTTTTGGTGCTTTTTTGAGGGTTCTGACGTTCTAAGTGTTGGATTCAGCAGCTAATTCCGTAGGAAACATAGACATAATTTCGTACCATTTAGCTTTTCCCTCCCATATGATTTGCAAACATTGGCGATCTTTTATCTCTGGAACACTATACTTTTTGGATCCTTTTGGTGTTTTTTGCGGGTTTCTGACGTTCTAAGTGTTGGATTCAGCAGCTAATGCCGTAGGAAACATAGACATAATTTCGTACCATTTGGCTTTTCCCTCCCATATGATTTGCAAATCTTGGCGATCTTTTATCTCTGGAACGGTATACATTTTGGTGCTTTTTGGGGGTTCTGACGTTCTAAGTGTTGGATTCAGCAGCGAATTCCGTAGGAAACATAGACATAATTTCGATTCCACTGCGAATTCCAATTTTCTGCAATATTTTAAGTGCGTTTTGTAAAAGGAAATTCAATTGATTTCGAAAGTGAAAACAATAGTTTTTTAAAAATTAAGGTTTTAAATTTATTATTAGGGTCCGCTTCGGAATCCAATTTTTGGCAATATTTAAATTGAAATCGGAAAAAAAAAAATTCTTATTAAGGGTTTAAATTTATTATTTAGGCCCGCATCGAAATCCAATTTGTGGCAATATTTCAATTGCGTTATACAAGGAAATTTGATTGATTTTGAATTGAAAAAAAATAGTTTTGTTTTATTAAAGGTTTAAATTTATTAGGGTCCGCTTCGAAATCTAATTTTTGGCAATAGTCTAATTGCGTTATAAAAGGAAATTTAATTAATTTTGAATCGAAAAAACTTGTTTTTTTTTATTAAGGGTTTAAATTTATTATTAGGATCCGCTTCGAAATCCAATTTTTGGCAATATTTTGAAAGGGAACCATCACAGTTGATTTGAAACGGTGGGTACCTCATCGATTTTCTCGAAGGTTTTGGATTGTAGAAGTATTTATATTATATACATTTATAATGTATGTATTTATATATATACAAGTATATATACATATCATATGGTAATTGTTCATAATTATAGTGGCGGACAATCACTTAGCACGTTCTAAGTGTTGGTTTACGTTCTAAGTGATAAATGGGCCTAAGTGATATTTTGACGTTCTAAGTGATGAATTTTCCCTACGTTCTAAGTGATGAAATTTTGCTACGTTCTAAGTACGAAAAAAAAAATTGGAAAAAATTTTACGTTCTAAGTGATTGTCCGTCACTATAGTTTAGATTGGGATTTTCCTGAAACACCACAATTTTACAAGAATTTAACACTATTTTCATATCACTGTAATACCACTGTAGAAAAGAAATAACACTATCTTCAATTTACAATGGTTAGTAAGACAATCAAAGAAATTTACAATGGTTAGTAACACTATTTTCAGTTTTACAATGGTTATATTATATAGTTAACTATGGTTAGTTAACACTTTCCCACAAGATCAAAGAAATCTCCCTCTTCACCAGGCCTGGACCGAATGCAGCGTGACCTGCGGCCTGGGCTTTCACAGTCGTGAGCGCGGGATCCAGACGGCCAAACAAGGCGCATGACGGCTGGACGGCTGGATCTGGGTTCCGGCTGGGCATTTCCCCAGGGGACTGGAGGAGATGGACAAGCATTAATTGAAGCTGTTGACCATTATACCCTCTGGTAATTTAACGTAGCTATTGAAAATTACCATTAATAGTGGATTTTCCCATTAAAAATGGTGATTTTCAATAGCTATGTTAAATTACCAGAGGGTATCTGGTTACCATTGTTTAACACAAGAATATTATCAACCGCAAAAAACTACAAGCGTTATAACTGTTTTTTTCATGTCAATTTGTCCATTTATCAACCAGGAATGTGAATTTGCTGGAGAGTATGCCTCACTAACGGCTGTGCCATGGCGCCATCAGGTTTTGGCAATCCCTGCGAAGGGCCACTGTCCATGGTTGACGACGCTCATCTGTGGGGATGGATTCATAGCCCGGCTGTTTAATCATTGGGGCTGGGGTAACTAGGTTAACTGGTTAACTATGGTTAACTAAGGTTTTATATGGGTATGGGTCAATACCTATAGATACATTTTTTGTGGGATGAACATCCATTTACCAGCTATTTTGGGGTTCACTAGGTACCAGGGTTTTGACCCATCCCCATATGGTTTTGTGGTTATTTATATATATATAATATATATATAATATATATATGTATTTATATATTTATAGTTCATGGTCATGGATGTCAATGGGTTTATACAGAACACAAAAGCTGGGCATTTCAGCGAGTCGGTGACCGGCTTTCTGTTTCACAACCGAGGATTGTCGTATGAAGAAGTGCCCGTCCCAGGAGCGGTGGATTCCGGTCCGGCGGTGGATGCCGTGGGCTTCGTGGTGAGATGATTTTCCAATGGATGTTACATCTGATGGGTGTTTTTTTAAACCTTTATTAATAAGTCCCCAAAAAATGAATGAGTTATTTACGGTTATCCCCACATATAAATGGCTTATAATCACTGATTGGTGGTTTGGAACCATGGAATTTTATGACTTTCCCATCATATTGGGAATGGAAAATCATCCCAACTGACGAACTCCATCATTTTTCAGAGGGGTAGGTATACCACCAGACATGCTTCTGACAAAGGGAACGAATATGGCAACACCCCGCTTGACCGGAATTGAAGGGAAAAGAACACAGTGGACCCCCTTTCTTTGAACCGTTCTTCATTAGTCACATCCCTCATGTTTGATTGTTAACTTCTCATGTTTGATGGTATAAACCAACATGGCCAATGTAGATATTTATTTTGATGCTCACCATTTGGTAGTTTTACATAGCTATGGACACTGACCTATTGATAGATGTTTTACCATGAAAACGTGTGATTTTTGACAGCAGAGGATATCATCATTTTCACATATATATATAATGATATATATATATATATTTCATATATATATATATATATCATTATATATATATATATATTTCCATTCTACCAGCAGTTTGATGGTTAAATCCCTACTCTGACTGGTTAAAATACCATGTTTCCCAGCAGTTTTCATGGTTTTTCTCATGTTTTTTCCGGCGCCAGAACTGTGTTTGGAGTGATTGGACCGAATGGAAGTCACCAGGGGAAGATGGCTCCTGGGCGGCAGCGTCACCACCAAGGAGGGAACCACGGAACTTTCCCGTCAGCAACAACGAGTGATTTTGACGATTTTTTATGATTGAAATACTGGTTGGTGGTTTGGAACCATTGAATTTTATGACTTTCCCATCATAGTGGGAAGTTCGTAACCCCAACTGACGAAGTCATATTTTTCAGAGGGGTAGGTATACCATCAACCAGAATAGTTTTTTTTTTTAATGATTTTTAATTAACCAACAATTTTTTCACTAGTCAGATTATAGTGGTCATTATGAAAATCAATCTATACCAATCTATATCACCAATCATGGTGAGTTCTTACGAATTATAAATGGGATATATATATATATACCCACTTGGGGGGTTCTTAAAATGGGGGATCCCAAAGGCACCCATGGGTATACTAAGCCATGGTCGAATGACTTGGATGATTTGGGGGTACCCCCCCATGACTTAGGAAACTTCCATTTTTACGATGAACGACTGTTGATTTAATGGATGAACTATCTTTAGCCATTCGGATGAATTGTCCAATTTAACTATTCTTATGACCAACTATCAGTTAACCATCTTTAACCATCAGTTCACAATGGATGAACGGAAACCCTACTGTAGTTGATGGCTATCAATTCTTGGTGATGATTCAACTGATTGATAGTTAAATCGCCATTTAATCATAGGGAATTAAGTAATTTAACAACTGAACAATGGATGAATGAACCCCTAAACTGTTGATCCCCAGGGGGCTTACCATTTCAGTAGCAGATGAACTTAGTGTCTTGGGGGATACCATGCAAAATCAACCAGCAATTTCTGAATCCAGGGTAGGTCCACTAGGTGGCCACGGCCGACAACATACCCTCCGGTAATTTGTTGCATAGCTATGGTTTTTGATGGCCCATGTAGGATGATATTTACCTGTTAACAATTGTCAATTTCAATGGCAATGTTGACAGAGGGTGCACGGTTTGTTTTCAATCATATCAATAAATAAAACCCTCTGGTAAATTAACATAGACCCTGAAAATAAGCCGTTTTTAGTGGAAACCAGTCTTCCAACCCCTATCTGCCAGGGTCTATGTTAATTTAC